CATCTCAGCTGCCTCAGCAATCAGCAACAGTGTTCTCAAGTTTAATAAAATCATAGATTAGGGCTATTGAGGTGCAGGTCAGAGCAGAGATCTTGATTCCTTGCTAGTCCTTGACAGCAAGACTGCTGTAACTACAGCAGCAGATTCCCCAGAAGAAAATTTAAGAATCTTTACACTGGGATCCTATCATAAAAAACAAAACACTAACAACACATTATTATTTTCAAAATATTCTTTTCAATATAACTGTCCTCATATTCTATCAAATTGAACAATTCTATTATGAACAAAGTAGTAGTTACTATGAAACTTTTAATAACTACTCTTAAAATACTAAAAATAAAACAGTAGTAATTAATCTTTATTTAAATGGTAATTTAATGTGCTAAGAAAGCCAAAAAATGAAACTAGTCATTAGCTCATAGTAAAGACCGCCAGAAGCTTCATTACTTATTAATAATGGAGAACACAGTGTACTGAACCATTTCCCCTAACCCCAGAAGCTACTAGGAACTGAACTGCAAAAACTGACAATCCTAATAAATTGATTAAGCAGTATGATTTTCTTCATAGATAAAATTACTGCATATAGCGTAGCTAAATTTTCATCGTAATCTGCATTGATCCAATCTCAAGTTTAAAAATGTGTCATAAAACCCCAGCAACATATCCCTCCACTGGGCAATTATTATGTATACTGGGACAACAATTAACTTACTTCTAATAAAAACAAAATTTCTATGATAAAGTTTTTGCTTTAATAGCTTCCTTGTTAGCAAAAAATACTAACAATATTTAGAGAAAAAAGATAAAAGAAAGCTTCCCAGTTAATTCTAGTTGATGACAATAATGTATCTTCTTGACCAAGATATCACTTATAGGAACTTTTTAATTTCATCAGATTTCCAATACATGTTTAATAAATACAATCACTTAAGATCCAAAGAAAGCTGCAAATCATTGCATTGCTCCAGAGGTCTTTGAAAGAAAGCAGAAATACATGACAGTAACTACTACTATTACTATTACCAATATAGCTTAAATTGGAAAAGATACTGAAAGAAAACATTTAGAGATGAAATTGTTCTACAATACCATTGACTAGACATTAGAATTAAACAATAATTTAGAATAATTTTATTTATAAACAAAATTAAATTATTAGAAGTAACTACCCTCTATTAAATTGATTAATTCAGTATAACCCTAAAAAACAACCCCTTGGGAAAAAAATGAGAAACCCATTACCATAGCAGAATTTAAAAATAATTAATTATCTCACAAACTAACTGAAACAATCATCATTAATATAAATCACTGAACTTACTGAAACTCACTAAATATTACCCTAGAACAAGAACAATCACAAACACCGTGCAAAAACTTAAATGTTCTATCATAAACTTTGTTCAAAGTAGCAAAATAAAAAATCTCGCAATACCTACGAACTAACACACTATTAGAAAAGTTAAATTCCAGGCAGATCCCTATAGCCAGGAAAACTTTTTTCCCATTTCTATCCATCTGCTACCAGATGCAAGATTAAAAAACTTCAGAAGTGAACGATTCACATTCCTCTTGCATAATGAAGTACAAATATCCAACACCTATCAAGCACAACCACTGATACCACTGAAAGCAAGTTGAGGAGGAAGATCAGGTAATTTCAGCTAATCTTATCAGTTTAGTGATGTCTTAGAAACATTATAAATATTAGTATATATTAATGAATTATTGATATAAGAAAGAAAAACACAGAAAAATCATCCTAGAAGATATGTTATTATTTCAAACTCTTTTCCCAGAATTGCCATCTACAGTTCTTCATCATCAAAGACCTTGGTGCAATTATTTCCTGCACAGTTTTGCAAAGTCAAACATGTTTGCTTTTGAGAATGGGTACTTTGATAAAGAGTTTTTCTTTTTGCAGCTTTGTAAATGCACATAAACTGAAACATGAATATATGAGTATTAGCATGGCAGGTTATGTTTACTATGAATATTTCCAAAACATGGTAACATTCCTACTTGTCCAACTGAAAGTGCACTAAAATGCACTGGAAGTACTGCTGTCTAATAATGGTCCATTTTGAGTAATAAATCTACACTGGCAGAGGACTGTAGTGGTTTGGGGCATTCCTTATGCATATATTTGGCAAAAAATGCTGTATCTTAATAGAATACGTAATACTTGGGATGTTTGCAAATGAACATGAGTGGGTAATTTATATAACAAGAGAGACCAATCTATCACACAGTATGTAAAAGCATATTTGAACTAAAAGGTTGTAAAGACTTTGCCTTATATATATTCAAGGACCATATGTAGTTCATTGGTCTTTTAACTGAAGGGATCATTAACAAAAGCACATTAAACACCTGAAGAAGTGCTGGGGGAGGAATGAAAGAAACCTGTGTCAATAGTTATAAAAGACCACTGTACATCTACAGAGTACATAAACTTCTCTTTGCACCAACTACTCTCAGTGTGAATTATTACTCCCTTTTTCTTTTTTTGGTGTTGAAGATCTCTATAAAGTTGTGACCCCATCACTCTACACCAGTTCCTCTTGCTGCCATGTAGCAAAAATCCCTCTAGAATCTCAGGCAATCAGAGAGAAGCTTCAACTTCAAAAGTTTTTTTTCTTTGTTAACTACATGCCATTTCCTAGTTGAAGGTAATAACAAGCCACACCAATCAGCTCACCACTGCAGCATTGCTTTTAGCACGAGAAGCAAAGCAAAGCAAAGCAATAGCGTGCAAACACACACCCATATGTATCCCTATAGCTCCAAAAGTAAGTTATATTTTATAGAGTACATCTTGTGGAATTAGCTTATTCAAACTTATCAATGTAATCTCCAGTAATTAAGAAATAGGCTTTGCTTTCCGAAGGCAGCTACTGAAATTTATTTTGATTATCCACTTGACCTATTCTGTGGAAAATGCAACAATCAGGATGAGACTACACCAGTGATATATTACCAGAAAGTCTAGTATTATCTTACTCAAATTAACTGTATGTCAGCTATTTACCAAGCATGGTATCATAACTAAAGAACTGCAGACACAACAGAAAACTCTATTGTGCCCATATCTTCAACACTATGCTATCCCTAGTCTAAAAAAAGCAACAATAGAAATACAGAAGGGTATGTAAAACAAAAAATAGATTGGAGATACAAGTTGGATTTCGGGAGCAATTAAATAGATTAAGTTTCTGTGATCTGAAGGATGCAAGGTGGGGTAATGTGTAAGGGAAGATAAAAATCAGGCATGGAGAATGACTGCTCATCACTTGTCTTGACCTAAGGGCGAGGCTGAACCAAAAAGAGTAATTTGGCAATACATTTAAAGATATAAAATTATACCTTAACTCATAATGATAGCATGACTTGGTATGTTGAAAATTTAGTAGAAAATCCCTCAAGCACACTGAGGGAGAGAAGACCAAATGAGTCTATTAAGCAACAGGATGCTGACACCACTTCCAGCAGAGAAGACCCTGCATGCAAATTGCAGGAAGCTGTCTGCATGCTTTGCATTTATCCTGTTAGTGTCCTCTTTCCTTAAGCATTTGTAAGTGGCCTGCTCCTCAGTCCTGCAGCTGGATCCTGTACAGCATCTCTGCAGCTGTCCTGTGAGCAGAAGGGTCTCTCTCTGGCCCAAAATATTAGGAGGGGTACCACTGCTGACTGCAAGCAGCAGAAAACAAGTGGGGTATTCACCTCTTCTCTCTCACTTCCACCCAGTGGACTTAAACTCTTCCCAGCCATGGGGAAAATCTCCCATCTTGCTATTTATTTTTCTTATAAGTGGATCAGCAGGCAGAAACAGAGCCTCATTTAGAACAGAGCAGTTAACTTTTATAAAGCTTTTAAACAAGAACTAGTCTGAAGAGGCATCAACGAAAGTATACAAGGTTGTTTTTGAAGAGACTTCTAGCAAGCTGTTTTATACAAAGTAACATTTTAATTGTTTGGTTATTAGCCAAACTGAATGGTACATATGTAGGAACTGGGGAGATGAGAGAAAGTGAAATAGGAAGATTAAAAGCATGCATTTCTTATTTTAAAATAATTTTTATACAGTACCAAGATTTAAGTATTTGCTAGATACAGTTGGGAATACTGTTTAGTAACATAATTAGGGATGGCAAAGGAACACATCTGAGTTTTAGAAATTAAGTTTAATTTTGAAGTAAAACAAAAACAAGGTTTTTAAAATTCTGAAGCACAAGCATCTGCACATGATGGAGGGAAAGATGCAGTCAAGAGTGTAGAATATGTAATAATAATTACAGGTATCATCTAGGACATGGGAACAGTTCATCATTCTAAAACAGATACCACATTTCCACATTGCAGCGCAATGGCTGACATGCTAATGCCTCCCTTTCTTTGTTCTAATGAAAATATCAATGACACTCATCAGAATCAGTCCATATATTCTTGTAAAACATTTTTGTTTGCAAGTGACATGGCAATAACTAATTAGCAACTGGCAATTAGAGCCATGAAGCTATTATAGTTCCACTGAAGAAAAAGAAACAGTAAGTCATAAAAAACAAATTATTTTCCAGCAATTGTATGAGTCTTTCATAATAAATCTAATAATATCGGGAAAACAATCTGTGCTTTTTACTGCAGTGTCTTCCCTGTCAAGGATCACTTAAAGAACTACAGGGCTTCAAAAGTAGCTTTGCTTTGAAATGTCTCTGACAAGAAAATCTTCTGGTAATTAAACCAGAGTCAAAATTAATCAAAAGATGATTGGAAAAACTAAACTTCTTTGACAAGAACTTAACTTTGACAAGTTAAGAGCACAGATTAAACCAAAAGCAAACTCAGAATATGGTAAACATAACCAAAGCAGCACTATTTCCCATTGTATTTCCTGAAGCTATACTGATAACTTGAAGTCCTGAAGTTCTCTAAATCATACAGAAGTGAAACAATTGAAATAGCCCACCCCCGACCCCCCAGCTTATTAATCATACCTTAATTTGTGAAAAAGGTCTGTCAAGGTTTCCAACATAAAGAAATCCAACATTCTGGGTGAGTAGCCTAAAAAACGAAAAGAATGTTTTAAGATATCACTTCACATCCGTAAGGTTGTTATTTTTCTTTCTGCATCTGCAGTAATTGTGACAAAACCCTAGCAGGGCAACAATCTTCACCATGATAGCAAGAGCTAGCCTTGCAAATCGGATTACACAATTCTGTTTGAACTACTGTAAGAAAGGAAAGATGTGCATTAAAGATGGGTGCACATCAGTAATATGTGTTTATGTTGCAAGCAGGTCTTCAATAAAATAATTTCATAGGCTTCTTTGTGATGGATGCCACTCAGTAATGTTGAAGAATGGCAGGTATATGCCTTTTCTCTTTATTAGAGACCATTAGAGACAAAGAGACCTCAAGAGAAAAGAATCATAAATACACACATTCAGAGCAGCAAGCCCAAGAGTTAAAACAGATTAGGGCACATAAAAGTATGCACAGTAATACAGAAATGACATCAATACAATCAGAGAAATAACAGAGAATCTATGTAATATTGCCTAATGATTTGCTAAATAAAAAGAGCCCCAGACACAGCTTGTGCTTGCTGTTCCCCTCAAGTCTTAATAAAGTTGTTGCATACACCACCAAGATCCAGAGGGACAGCGAGTAAGTTGTCTCAAATGCCTGCTCATAATTCTGGAAAAGAGTTTGATTTCTGCAGATACTGTGCAAGTCAATACTATCAGTACATAAACTCCAAATTCCAGGGGAGCATTAGGGCACTGCTGTTATGAACAGGCTGACAAGAACATCACTGGCTAGCAAAAAGGGCAGGAGAGCAGTGTTCTGTTCTGACTGGATAATTACAATGTTCCTCTTGCTAAGCAAAGGCCCAGCAATCATTCCCTCCAGTTAAGAGCCTCTTAAGTATTGCACTGAAATACCAGTTCTTTATAACAATGAGAACTTTTTTGATGACAAATGCTGGACAGAGTTTCTGTTTTGATTAAAAGAGACATTGAAAACTCTTCACACTCATCAGTAGCTCCAAGTTTTCATTAAGTGTTTGTTACTTTATATTTTCTTTTAATTTTATATCCAATTCCTTTCAGCAATAAGACCTCACATATGAATTAAATTGAATAGCCAGAAATAAGTACAAATGTAGGCATCACTCAGCTTAAGCAATGACAATGAGGTGTCTCTTTCTCACATTATTAGGCATACAAAAATATATATATATACATATACACACACTTATCATTCATATTGAGATGTATTTTTTTATAACTAAACCACCTGTCATTTTCAACTCATTTCTCACCATTGCCAGGCCTGTTTTCATAAACAAAAGAAAACAGAAACTTAGATAGCAGTAAATAATTTTGAGCCCACGGAACATACGTACCTTAGTATGATCTTGATTCTTCCCAGTTCTAACAACAATATGATATATATGACTTTAAACTGGTTCACCAACAGTGGGAATTGGTAGAACTCAGCAAAATTACAAAGTCAAAACATTCACACATATAAAACAGTTAAGTAAGAAGAGGTGTTGAACTATCACTCTTCAAAAACCATTCTGTAATTAGATATGGCATATCAAAAATTCAAGAGCACTGACAGAAATACCCAAAGAAAGAAAAGACCAGTAAAGATCAGACCACATTAGCCACAGTACAGACAGGCAAGTGGATTCCTCCCTTTCCCAACCAGTGTGCCAGTCTCCACTGGGAAGACTTTTACTGTTATGCAATAGTTCAGAAGAGTATGTAGGTCAGGATAAGCATATTGAGCTCATTTTCAGTCAGAGTAAGTCAAATTTATTCAGAACTCAGGTGTCTGGAACTGGAAAATACAGCATACTGATCTAACTTTCTCGTAGAGGTACAAACCAAAATCAGAAAGTATTTCATGGTTTTCTAAATGGAAAGAAATATATGAGAAGTAATTAGCAAAGAAGGTTTAAAGAGGCTACAAAAAGAATTCAAGGTAGTTCATCATATTTCAGAGACATGTCTTAAAGCAACAAAGTATTCTTACAAAGAACTGCACATAATTATTATATAACAGAAAAGAAAAACAAGATAATCCACTAGCTATGTTTCTAGAAGGGACCTTACAAAAGAGAAGACATTCAGTGTGATAATTCCCATCTGGTTATTCTTCACATTTTCCTTACCAGATAAAAATGTAGAACCATTAAAAATTGAGATCTTTAGGACTGCTTTAGCTAGAAGTAACAAACATCCAGGGAACCTTAAGACTGGACTCTCCAGGAGACTGCCCAGCTGTCTACACAGTTTTAAGTTGCTATCACTGATGCACGCTCCAATTGAACTGCAAGACTTGGCTTCCTTAATAAGATTGATATTCACACAGTACAAGCTAATTACTATTCATCTTTCACTGCCTCTGCTAAAAAGCATTTTACTTACAACTTTTTGTTTGCACTTACATGGCATTCAAAAAGCAATGGTAATGCAATGTTAGGAAAATTTTTAGGGAACGTAGTTATTTGTAGCTCTCCCCTCCTTAAATAAAAGGTTCCAGTCTATATTTCCCTAGTTTACACATTCCTATTGAGTTCTGTAGTTTGAAATTAAATCACCAACACGTAGCCAGTTTCCATTTAAGAGCCCAAGAAGGTTGAAATGAGCACGCCAATATGATCATAATTTAATGTTCTGACATATCTGGGGTTTATGCCCCTAAACGGTCTGAGCAATTAAGAAAATACTCATCACTAGTCTAAGCTCTTTTACTCTGGGTCTTCATTATGAGCATAATCTCTGTATTTCAGAGGCTGAGCTCACGCAGAAGAGCCTGGAGAGGAAAGCAGGCTGTGACAAGAGTCACCGCTGTGTCACTGTCGGACACGAAATGATTCACACGGACACAGGTGAAAGAAGAAGCAAAGTTTATTTGTTCTTTCAGTATTTATAGGTTTCCGACCACGACCAGGGATTGGATAGTCAGGTTACCACCTTCCCAACCGCACTGGCTGTGAGAGACATCCATCAAAAGGCATCTCTTTAATGAAATTGACAAACACCTATGTTTACAATTACTTTCCTGGGAAAGTGGCTAGAAATTGTGAAAACAATATCGAAAGGCCTGATTCTCAGGGCAACACGGCTGAGGCTCTGAATAAGCCAAGCTACTGCAAGAGTGATGCCATCTCCTCAGCAGCCACCAGTGGCAGTACCAAAAAGCCATGTGCCCATGAGGAGAGGGGTGAGACAGAGGAGTATGCACCAAACTCCATCTCGCCCACAGAAACTCAGCACAACTGACCTCTAAATGTCCTTAGATGTACCTCCCACCAGTCAGAAAGTTCAAACTATACATAACTGGTTTTGGAGTTCTTTACCACAATTCCAGGGTGTACTTTTAAGTACCTAAAATTAACTTTGTATTATAAATGTCAATATGTCTAAATTGATGCAGATATTCTCTCCTAATACTCTCAACTAATTACCCTTGGCCTTTAAAGACTTCCCAATGGTAAGCAGGTTTGGTTATAAGCACTTATATGTCAATGTTGTCTTTTAAATGTCAGTCTTCTATTTCTTACTTAGTATAACAGTTGTACAGTTCTGCTCTTAAAACACCCGCAGCAGTACTCAACACCAACCCTTATAAAAGTTAGACATCACTTGTAATTGGCCAAAATCAATACCAGGCTATGAAACAGTGATGACAGTTTCACAGCACAATTATTACCTTTGAATTCCACTTCAAATAATTACTTTAAAATTATGAGAAGCAATCATCAAAAATACGAATGCTTACTGACACTTCAACACATAATTTTTATTTAATATGTAGCAATATACAAAGCTGCCTAGCTTACAGACTGTCATATAATTTATTTGTAGTCTCTTCCATTCAATACATTATCCATATAATTCCCGTTTTTTTCCCTGTACATCGAAGGAAAGAAACATGACTCCAAGAAACAGTAGTTCCTTAAGATGTGCTGTGCATATATAACATAACATTCCATGCTTTCCTCTCCTGTACACCCAAGGGAGCAGACCTCTAGCTCAACCTGCCTGTTAGGGCTGCAAAGTTACATTTCAATGCAAACTACATAAAAACCCCAAAAGTGTGAGGACAAATCATTTCAGAGTTTTGACAACATAATATCAAGGTCTTAAAGGCCCTTCCAGTACCAGTAAAATGCTGCTAGATAGGTATCATTAAATTTCCCTAGCTTTGGTCTATTCTGGGTTATAAATGTACACAATGTTTTCAAAATCCAAGCTGCAGGAGCCAGGCGCTGCTGTTTGTGGGGGAGGTTGACCATAGGAGCAGGCACGGTCAGGCCAGGTGATCCAAAAAGTGTGGTGGCAACAGTGACATGATGGTGGTTAATGCAAATAAACACAGGACAGGACTAGGAACTTGGGTAAAGGGAAACTTGGAGTAAGGCACTGCAGGACCTCAGAGGATGTAGAGTACAAGGGATGAGAAAGGTACAAAGGAGTGAAAAAGCAGCCCTCTGGCTTGGAAAGCACTAGGGTAGAGCTCTGGGCTGGAGAAGACCAAAGGATTAGAGAATGGGAGCAGCAAAAACCGATTTACATTTTCCCTGAGGGGGCTGGGACATTCCCAGTACCACTGCCGCCTTCCTACTGCCTTTGGCCATGGGAAGCAGAGCGGCCCTTGGCTATGGACTTTATGAGGACAGCTCATTTCAAGGCAGCTTGATCATTTCCTCTTCTCCACACACAGTCTGCTCCTGCTAATTTACTACTACGTGTTAAAATGAAGGTGAATCACCCTATCAGTACCTAAAGGGAGAGCGCAATAAGAGACTTGGAGAGGAACATTTTACAAGGGCCTGTTCTGACAGGACATAGGGGAATGGCTTTAAACTGAAACAAGACAGGTTTAGACTAGGTATCCAGAAGAAATTCTTCCCTGTGAGGGTGGTGACACACTGGAATTGGTTACTCAGAGAACCAATCCATCCCTGGAAGTGTTCAAGACTAGGGTGGATAGGGTTTTGAGCCACCTGGTCTAGTGGGTGGTGTCCCTACCCATGGCAG